ACTCAGCGTAATATGTCAAAACTTTCCTTGGATAATGACTGTAGACATTTCCCCACAGGGTCTAGGGCTCGCTTCTCTACCCTCCGTACAGTGGCCTGCCTCGCACCACTGGTTCTGTAGGCAGCCTCGTGGATGAAGAGCTTTGCGCCTTCTAAATTGACTGAAAACGTGATTTATGTGAAAAGCAACTGTTACGAAACTGATGTTTATTTTTAGCTGAGGCTTAAAGGGTACCAGAGATAAAAGCTTCCAAACACTCGCCACAGGTGATAATATTATGTTAAACCTAAAGAGTTATCATACACAAATGCGGATTCGTCATTCTCACTTAATATATCAATTTAGCATTTCGTACTGCAAAAATTAAATTGATTACTTCGTCGAACCGTTTATGACAAAATATGTCAATATTATTTTAAAAAATTGCACGTACTAGGAATGGTTGTTACGGATTGATAATTGTTGCCGTAAATTGCAGCAATACGAGATCGAGGATGTTCAGGATGTCCTGGACGCCCTCCGGAGTCTTGCACCCGGTGTCACCCGTCGACCTACGCGTTGCCAACGTTGCTTCACTTCGTCTGATGTGTGTCCTGTGTACTGTACACAGGACCAAGTCCCAAAATAGATCGCCTTCTTATGCTTCAGTGTAATTAATTATATAAATATAAGCAGGTTGCTTTATGCTCCCAGCTCAAGTCGAGATGGTTTAAGTAATAGATAAAGGTTTGTAACACCGACAATTCAAGCTGATTAAGTCTTCCCGAATAACATGTTTACTGGGAAAACGTTTCAACCTTTTCTCGTGACATCCGTTTAATTACAGAAAGGGTTTTGCATAGACGCAAGCTAATGTCGTCAATAGTTAACTGTAAATATTCCATGAGGTTTATTATTCGCAACAACATTTTCATTACACTAAACTCTGCGTTATTTATCAGTTACACGACTGGTTTATTTATGTGTTTGCATGAATCATCCCATTAACTATTTAACTGTGTTGCACTTAAACGGGTGATCTATTACTGCAGTATCACTTAGGGTGGGATCATTGAAATTGCCTGTCTTGAATTTCCCAGTCAGCAAACGCGAGTATTGTGCAACATCCTATTGTGCAACATTCCTGAGGTTTTTCCCCATACCCATTGTCACTACCCTTTGCCATTCACATATGTGTGTGAATATAGTTTTACGCCTATAGCTATACCACGGCGGCTGTAGGTAACGGAGTGCGAACCAAACAGTCTAGACTGACTTTTAGTCCCAGAAACAAGTTATCTTATTCAAAAATGTATATCTACAAAATTAAAAAAAAGCAAAGCTATCAAAAGGGAACCCAGAATAATCCTTAATTTCCTAGAGCTGAGGCAATATAGACTTACCAAATCATTCTAGTTCGAGTGGGACTCCTTTTTTAATTTATTTTCTGGGGTCTTGGAGACAGATTACAACCAGTCAATGCCGTCGGGATATAAAAACAGCTAAATATTCAATGATCGGTTTCTAATTTCTCGCCGACGGGGCTCTTCTCTCTCCGGGACAATCAGAAGACGCGTAGAATAGTAAGAAGACAAAATGGACACTTAGAAGAGCCCGATGACTGTCAGAAGACGCCTGAAGTAGTAAGCAGACAAAATGGACACTCAGAAGAGCCCGATGACTGTCAGAAGACCCCTGAAGTAGTAAGAAGACACAATGGACACTTAGAAGAGCCGGAGGACTGTCAGAAGACCCCTGAAGTAGTAAGAAGACACAATGGACACTTAGAAGAGCCGGGGGACTGTCAGAAGACCCCTAAAGTAGTAAGAAGACACAATGGACACTTAGAAGAGCCCGATGACTGTCAGAAGACCCCTGAAGTAGTAAGAAGACACAATGGACACTTAGAAGAGCAGGTGGACTGTCAGAAGACCCCGGAAGTAGTAAGAAAACACAGTGGACACTTCGAAGAGCTGGAGTACTGTCAGAAGACCCCGGAAGTAGTAAGAAGACACAATAGACACTTAGAAGAGCAGGTGGACTGTCAGAAAACCCCTGAAGTAGTAAGAAAACACAATGGACACTTAGAAGAGCCGGAGTACTGTCAGAAGACCCCTGTAATAGTAAGTAAGATGACACAATGGACACTTAGAAGAACCGAAGCACTGTCAGAAGACCCCGGAAAAAGTAAGCAGACACAATGGACACTTTGAAGAGCCGGAGGACTGTCAGAAGACCCCGGAAAAAGTAAGTAAGATGACACAATGGACACTTAGAGGAACCGAAGCACTGTCAGAAGACCCCGGAAAAAGTAAGCAGACAAAACACACAATAAGAAGAGCCGGAGTACTGTCGGAAGACCCGTAAAATAGTATGAAGACAAAACTGGGCAATTAGAAGACCCGGGAAAAGAAAAGAGACCCGTAGAATAGTAAAACAACAAACAGGGTACCAAGAGCGCAGAAATTTAAGTGACAAAACACTTTCCATATTCATAAGAAATTTCGGCAAAACGCAGCGGCAGTTGTACGATTCCGACTGTATCATGAGCATGTGTTTATTATGACACCACGTGTTAGCGAAAAGGTCAGCGTATCCTGAACCATCGGTGGCACCCGTCACAAACACAAGGTGCCAAGGCAAGTCAATTGTTCTGCAGAAAAAAACACGGGAACATGTGGTACAAGTCAAAACAGTGAATTGAATAGGACATAATTTTTGTGAAAGATGTCCCCAACTTGTCTGCCATTAAACAATTGGAAATCTTTGCAGTGGACTTGAATCTTCGTGTTGGTAAAAAGAGCATACTCGATTGTGCCTCGAAACACCAAAGACGGGAGCTGCTGGAATATTGGGAAGTTGAAGTCATCCCTCTTGTCATACAGTCGTGTGAAGAGTGTTTTGTCACTTTGAATCTTTATGCATAGATCTAACTATGAAACAGATGAGTCGGTCTCACTAGTCTCCTTTATTTCTAGTTCAGGTGAAGAAGAATACACGAAGAAGACCCGGAGTGTTGTACGAAACCCCATAGACTAGCAGGTGACAAACAAGGCACTTAGAAGGCCTGAAGTATAGTAAGAAGTCACGTAGAGTAGTACGATGGTGAAGTAAAATAAGGTTTAATGTCGCGTTCAAGATTATTGCATCATATAGCGTGGTGCCTTGTGTGTGTGTGTGTGTGTGTGTGTGTGTGTGTGTGTGTGTGTGTGTGCGTGCGTGCGTGCGTGCGTGCGTGCGTGCGTGTGTGTGTGTGTGTGTGTGTGTGGCTTATGCCGGTTTTATAGGGCTTCGACTCAAGCAGTCCTTGTTTTAGACGCTCTATCCACTAGACAACGGAGGCGGACGAGAACTAGAAAGGACCCTGTCGGACAACTGTAAGAAGACAAACATAACACTTGGAAGACTTGAGTGTAAAAATGACGACCCTCAGACTAGCGAGAAGACAAACAACTAGTACACTCAGAAGACCCTGAGTACTATAAGGGTAACGCTATTTTTCAGGGCGTTATCATTTGCAGAAGCCGGAGGTTTTCCATTAACTGCCCGACGAAGGAGGGCAGTTGAAAAGGCCGAGGGCTTCTGCAAATGATAATGCCCTGAAAAATAGCGTTACCGTTATTATAGCTAAAATGGATGGAATTTGTCATCAAATAAAAGGAAACAACAATATCGGTTTTGAAACATTTACTGCAATCAACACGAATGTCACTGACCCACTTTTACAAACATGGAAACGTCATAGAACAAACCAGATGACGTCACTATTAAACGTGACGTCACTACCCCTACCCTATGACGTCACCTAACAACGGGCGTGATAATGGCCCGTCGTCAAGTAATATGAGGGCATTATCAAGTTACAGTGGCCCGCCGATTTCTGATAACATGCGGGCGGTTTAATGATAATTCTATCCATTTTAGCTATAATGTAAGACAAACAGAACACGTGGAAGACTTGAGTGTAAAAATGACGACCCTCAGACTAGCGAGAAGACAAACAACAAGTACACATAGGAGACCCAGAGTACTGTAAGAAGATTAGTAAGAAGACAAACAGAACACAAAGTAGACCCGGAGTGAAGACGACTCGGGTATATTAAGAAGACCCACAAGACACTGCGCAGACCAAGCGTATAATATAAAAAAACCCATCAAAAGATAAGGAGAAAATGGTGAGGATAATAAGAAGACGCACAGAACATTAAGAAGATTCGGAGTATAATTGTTTCGTTTTGTGTGTTTCCAGGTATGTGACGAGGGTCTTTAAATAACCGAGTCTGGATCAGACAATCAAGTGATTGACATCATGAGCATCGATCCACGCTATTTGGATACGATGACATGCATCAACCAAGTAAGCGAGTCTGACCGTTAGTTGCCTCTTACGGCAAGCATCGTCGCCTTTTACGACACGCATGGGTTGATGAAGACCTGTTCTACCCCGGATCTTCACGGGACCTGAGTATTATAAGAAGAAGACCAACACGGAGAACACTAAGAACGAAAATATGAACACGAACAACCCTGAACACCTAAAAAATCCCAAAAAAAAGCTAAAACGATTGAACAAACATGGTTCCCCGTAACAATGATGCAGCCACCACATCTGGTTGAGTTTGCTTGACGGGTTAACCGACAAAAAAACCCATGACACCAAAGATCCACGATGTTTGTTACAATTATAAGTGACCATATTTGCCAACAACAAGCACATGAAGGGTTTGGTGAGACCAAAGATCTCCTACTACAAGGACATAAGTGGTCTCAGCAGGGATGGAATTGATTCTCTTCTGCCTAATGGCGCCACCCTTGACCTACCATGTATCACTGAGTTAACGCGCTTGTTAATCTTGGTTCATTTGGACTAATTATCATTCTGCAATGTCTCACATAGTTTAAATTTAAAAAATACAGCCAAAACAAATATTGGAAACATGTATGTCTAAAAATATCAAAAACCGCTTCTGGTCAATTTCATCAACTCTAATCAGTGCAAAGAGATCAGCCCTCTCGCGAGTGACAATTAAAGATTGGTCCGCCGTCTCCGTGCCCCAGATGACCGCTGCCTGCTATATCTTCCTTCGTGCCAATGCCATTAGGCAGTTTCACCAGTCTCCAGTAGTTGTTGGGTCTCTCTGCTTATTACGTTCTGCAGAACCGCTAACGCTCGATATCAGCCGAGTCTCTCATGTTGCTAGTAGCGGGCCGCCATTGGAGGTAGTTGGACTCTCGTGGTAGTGGAGAGCGTGAGCGTGCGAGGAGTGAGCGGAACGCGCGGTGTCAGCGCTGGAGGACATACTCGCATGTTGTGGCAGCGTGTGAGACAGACGGTGGTTGTTTCTAGTGTGCATCTGCAATTCTCTGCTAGGATCGCACTATGATGTGTTTGCAATCAAGCGTTCCAGCTGCCGAGATCACTAATTAGATGCCCGGATGTGTACTACTTTGACATTTCTGTAGGAACGAAAATGGAGTCAGCGAAGAAATGGCTTACCTCGACGTGTGTGCTTGTTCTTGCAGTATGCCTGTTTATTCAGAAAGGTAAGAATCAGTGCTTAATCAGAAACGTCAGTTTGATATATATTGCCAATCTTGATTCAGCCGCATGTCGTCTTATTCCTATGGCGTTCCTTTGGCGATATTAATGTCTTTTAAACGCCCCAAAAGACAATGTTTTTATCACTACGCTTTTTTAATCGTCATTTCCACCCTGTCAACTGATTTAGCACGTATTTCGTCTAAATCCAGCCTTTCTTGTCTGGTGTCTACTTTCCGATCAAACCAAGGTGTTTCATGTAGGCTATTGACCGGTTACCATTGGACTGAGTTCAATCGACAGACGATATTAATGCTGTTCTCCCTGTCGTGGAGGAGGTCAGAGTTAATTTGGTTTTAGTGGTTGGGGACCCCTGCAGCTCCCAGGGATTGGGACGAAGGTCAAGGAAGGTCTGTCGAACGAATTGGGCCCGAGAAAAACGCAGGAATGACCATCACAGTGTCCGCGCCACGTGAGGTCGGGTGTCAGAAGGGCTGTGTCGGTCATGTCCCCTTGACTCAAGTTCTGTAGGTTATTGGAAGGGGAATGCGATGTTAGGCTACAGGGTGACTGCAAATAGGTTCACTTTAATTAACTGATAGCAACGGATCACGTTACAGGGGTTTTGGTACCTGTGCCGCTTACATAACTCGGGGAATTTTCGGGGAGAGACAAGCGCTTACACTGGCGTCTTCGTTAATTTTGTGTGAAATGATGAGGAACATATAATTATATGTGTGATGTTAAAATAACAGATGAAACGTCGTGAGATTCACTGCTACTGTGGTCAGCGAGACTTTAAGAAAATCAATTCGTATTTCCTTTAACAGTGTCAAACGGCTGCGGTCTGCATCACTAGGTTATTGACTTTGCCACAGTCGGAATTTATGTCTGGGTTGATGGTGGTAAGCGGCGGCGCATTGTCATTAATACATGTTAGAACCTTTATATTCATATCAGGTGGAACATTTGTAGCGAGATATTTTAAAACGCACTATTCATGGATTATTTGCAAGTGTAACAACAAAGGCAATGGCCCACAACGTCAATTTTATATCACTCTTCTGTACAATGGTCTTCAATATTATATGCGACTACATGAATTACATTCCGTGAAGATCCGGGGTAGAATAGTTCTCCAGCAACCCATGCTTGCCGTAAAAGGCGACTATGCTTGTCGTAAGAGGCGACTAACGGGATCGAGTGGTCAGGCTCGCTGTCTTGGTTGATGCATGTCATCGATCCCAATTATGTTGCTCACGATGTCAATCACTGGATTGTCTGGTCCAGACTCTATTATTTACAGACCGCCGTCATATAGTTGGAATATTGTTGAGTGCGGCGTTAAACAACAAACAAAGAAAGAAAGACATGAATTACACAAAAATACAAACTTGAATGTTATTGTCTTTGACAATGATGTTTTAATGTAATGTGCCATTGATTTTTAAACTTGTCTGTCATTAACATTAAAACGGTCTATGTCATTGACGTTGGCATTAAAATCATACTATGACGTTGACGTTGGGATGTATCCATGACAATGACGTTGGCGTTAACATGTATATCCGGCATTGACGTTGCAATGTATGAACGAAGATGACGATTAAACCCATGGATATTAAATTTAAATGTCCCCAAAGCAAACAGAGGTGATATGTATATACATATATTGATTGTATTCAGTCCGTGGAAACAAGAGAAAGGTTATTCCCATAGCAGCAATAAAATTGATGTGATAGCAGGCTGGAACTGACATGTGGTTGAAGTGGGCGTGGTATGAGTAAGACCTTGTTTTATCTATGCGTGGACTCCTAATGTACATCTGGTCGCAATCAGAAGAAGCACGATAGGATGTAGGATGTTGTCAATGGGCTCGGTGTATACACAGGTCTCCACATCGAGCAACTGGCTCACCCCGGGGCTAAATGCAGGTCCCCTCGTCGAGCAACTGGCTCACCCCGGGATTCTTTGGTGCCGCCTAGCTGCTGTATCCATCCTCTGGGTGTTCATGTAATTCTGGGAGGGTCCTCTTCGCCTCAGATTGTGAGTCATCAGCCCTAAATCTGCTGACCTGATTCCTCGAGTCGGCTGAATCATTGGACGCATGTTTTATTACATTTTCATGTTGATATGTGGGAGAATGTATCTGAGATTGGAATACTTCTCCGTGACATGTACCTAAATATCACAGAGCGTGGTAGTTTGGAATACCGTCATATAATACGCTCTTTCATTAAAATATACTATGTTGAGTTTTATTGTCACGACCATCACTCATAAATACAGGTTGACACTTTTCACAGTCAGAAGCACAACAATACGATATCACATTAACCCTCCATTAGCTTGTTGACTGGCCTTATAAACCTGAATGCAACAAGTTCTATATTAGCTTAGTACCATGTATATCCCGAGCCTAATAATTGACATAGTGTGCATTATTATGTGATTTCCATGTTTACATGCCAAACAAATATCACATGGATTTGTTGCATGTCATTTTCAGATAGAAGCATGATATTTGTAACGTTGCTCAAAGGCATTACTAAAGTTATGTTAAGTAGCATTTACAAGCATATTTATGGGACAATTTTACTCCACAACCGATGCTAACTAGAGCGTAGGAGACGCTGCTTCCGGGGAGTAATTTCACGATTTAGCACTGGAACCGTAGAGCAACATCCTTATGGCACGAGACTGCTGCGTCATACGGAGGAGTCGTTGTAGTTGGCGACGGGCACTCAAGACACTGCCTCTTTTTAGAAGCTGTAAACAAACCGTCGCTTAGTACCGTTACTGTGTCAGGAATTTACACGCCGACACTTTGTCTGCTTGCCATCCCACACTCTGGATGGCAACGTCATACCCCGACGCCAAGTCTTACATAAGTCACATAAATCACGTGGCTAAGACGGAACAGAATGCGTTTGTAATAATAATAGAGAATATGTAGCTCTCTACATAGGCATTTGGCAATGCATCGATTCTCTCCAAGTACCTGATGGGCCGGGGAAATAGTCCGAATACTCCAGATGCCAATAGTCGCGGCATTCGTGTTTATACAGACCCCGTTAATCCAATGATGCCTTTCCAAGTGAAACTGTCAGATTAACGAATCCTTGGTACGAACAAAGACGTATATATAAGTACCGATCATTTGTATATGTAAAGATGTTTAAATACGAAAGTCTTGAGAAGGCTGACTTTCCACCTTATTGTTTATGTCCACACTAACGCGGAAACACAGTACGATTCACTCGTAATCTCGTGATTGTATATCTCGAATACATCCGAGTCTCGAAACTCCGTTCTTTTCAATGTTTATCTATCGTCCCCTTTATAACGAGCTAACGTTCATATTGCATGATATTCTTTATAACGGGGTAGTTTGTTATGTTACATTTCGTGATGTCTCTGGTATCTGATGAATGAATAAGGAATGTTGCAGTCAGCAATATTAATGCTATGTCAGGCTCTCTGTAAGTAACCGAATCAAGATCAGCCAAACCAGCAAATGATAAACACAACCAGACCACACAATCTGTCTTACCCTTCAGACCATTTTGGTCTCGTTTTACGACATACATGAACAGTGGGACGTAGTTGGGTATTCCCGCCATCCCTACTATGGACGAGATCTAATAGATTAGTACCCAATATACACAACAGAGGCGGGAATTGCCACAAAGCGATATGATCCCCATACAGAGGCCGCGAAAACGATGAGATGAGGCTAATAACGAATGATTGTGTTGCTAGCAATGCAAGTTTGGCAAGAGCACGTCATGGTATGAATGTCAGGAGGATGCAGCTTCAAACGGATTCATCTCGTTGTTATTAACTTGAAAGCTACTGTCATATTGACTGACTGCTTGTTGACCGAGACAATGGTAAGTGGAGTTCATCAAACATTAGATATAATGTAGCGTAGTTTTGTACAGGATCTGGCCGTTTATGGCATCGTAGATGCGACTTAAATGATTACGATCATAGCACATTAAAACCAGTTATGGGGCAAATGTCACCACTCATAGTTATATGTAACCGTTGCGTTAATAATATGTCGTTGACATTTTACACCAACTTTTTGGGGAGCTACTGTTAAAAAGGCCGTTTTGAAAATACTTACGCTTTGAAATACTCATATAGAATATTTGTAAGTGGTGGAGACGGGCTACAAGGGGCATCTAACGTCTGATTACAAAATCATCACGATCTTCAAACAATGCAATGCAATTATCCTAATATGATCATTTTTTTCATCTTTAAATAAATGAGACTTCATTTCATTGTTTGGAATCCCTTGTATCGTAATTCAGTCATGTTTTAACATAACTCCGTCTAACGAATCAACAGGATGAAGGTAACAAACGGCCACAAGGTGAGATGTGGTGATCTGTAACGAGAGAGGAAGCGAGCGACCTGCATGACTGCTGAAGTCTGTGTTAGCTGAGGCAGTGATGGTTCTGTGGGCACAGAGAGGGCGTGAATCACACCTCCCTGGACAACAACACACGTGTTTTACCAACATCTATAGACCCACGGATACCACAGTGGTGGGAGAGACGGGGAGGGACACCTGCTGTAGGCCCTACACATATTGCTAACCAATCATGGTTTTCTTGCAATCATTCGTTGGATTTGAAGTGCCCGGCAGAGAATTCTTAACTTCGGCCATATTTAACTCTTCTGTTTGGTCGATTCCGCCTATTTTTAGCACCAACTGATTTTACTGTAACCACGGAAGCCAATTTTCCTTTTTATCGATCTGTTCCCGCTATGGGGGACTCTCAGCGAGAGGCTCAATATATATTGAACTTCTTAGCATAAGTAAATATTGTCCTGTCGCCCTCGCTTTCAACACAACTGTTTATTTGAAGAATTATTCGATAATTTAAGCAGTTTATGAAAATAGTCTTGCTATTTATTTCTAGCTGACCTGCAGTAGATCCAAGGCTTATGGCTGTGCTCTCAATAGCCGCCCCCGGCTGGTTGTCGGGGG